ATTCCCTTTTTGTAATTGGTTAGTTGGCTTCGTATATCATGTTGTATATGATTCACTCTTTTATGTAAGTAGTATGGATGATGTTATAGACCTGAAGAAGGGCTTACGGCCCGAAACGTCGTCAAATAAAGCTTTTTGAAGAACTTCATTTCAATCAACAACAGAGAACCTCTCCAACAATTGAGAGTAGTCCTTCAGTTTAGTTCGGCTCCCATATAAGGATGTGGTCCCCCGAGTGTTAGAAACCTACGGACTACCCCTCTTGCTACACGACATGACACGTAAAAAAGAATTTATTAACAAACAAAGCCAACTATATTATGGCGCGGTGAGCGTCGGCTCTAGCGGCGACAGCAGGGCGACCTGCTGACTTCACAGTCAAGGCGATCCACAGGTTGATCGGTCCGGCGCCTGCTCCGGGCGGCCGGTTGACGCGGCTTCTTTCAGCGTGACTAATCGGCCACTGGCTGAGGTATCGCGGCGACGTGGAGAAGATATGGAGATGACGCGGAACGACGTGGAGGCGCCGATTTGAGGGGGTGACGTGGAGATTTTGACCTGGGGACTAAGAGGGATTATGGACTACAGGGATCAACCGCGACCACCCGCGGAACGCACCCCTTCGAGGATGGTCTTGCAGCCGCCCCGTATTAGTAGGAGCTGCGTTTGGGCGGCCGCTCGCCCATGACCTACTTCTTTCTGTACCTTTCACGACGCCAGGGTGATGGTGGTCCGTCATACGTACAGGTCTTAGATCCTTGTGTTACGGGGACTGGGGTGTCGTGTAGACTCTGTAAGAGGAGGGGCTCATGAAATCTTTGGAATCGGACCAACATTATGGTTGAAACTGCCCTGAACCCTAGTCAGTGGCATGTTTGCATCAGTGATTTATCCATTCGCAAGTGTGTCTAGGGTTACAGTACCGTTGGATGATAACGACGCACTAGAAACGGAAGCTCATTAGCCATGACCTACATAACCTACATTATACAATATTTATGCGATACTTATCGATCCGACTTGCTTTGTCACCAAGCGTTTTTAGCAATTCGCTTATTCGCCTCTTCGTCTAATGGTAGGTGTCTTTTTCCCTTTCGTCTAATTGCATATTAGCGTGGGTCGCCAATGCTAAGCAATGGCTGAGTCTGATAAGTATACAGTATTTTGAAAAAGCAAATCCGGAAATCAACATCGACCCTAAAATACTGATCGAGGCATTGCGAGGCTAGTTCATTTCTAGTGCACTAATGAATCGGTGCGGTTACTGTGATCGCAAAATCGAGGACGAACAGGCCCTCTTCGCCAGGGGGAGGGTGAGTTGATTTGTGAATTCCACATGGCACATCATTTGTGATCTATTTTGTATTTTGATATTGTTGAAGTCGTCACTCTTCATTTGTCACCCACTTCTATAGGGTAGCTCTGAGTGTAAAAGAACACAAATGTTTTGGAACTTAGTATAGTAGAGAGGACGAAAAATAGTTTCACAAAGTGAAACAGGCATTATTGTGCCTCGATCGATCAATTCTTGGAACATTTAGCTTTTCTTGGAATTGTAGAGGACCTTGATTGAGGCCCTGTTCTAAGGAGGCGGCTTGCGTCTATGCTCCTAGACGAATCGGATTATAATAATAAGAGCTGCGAGGAAGCTGCAAGGTAAACTCCGCCCATCGAGCGAATCGCCATATCGCCTACTCGCCTACAGTGTTCCATGGCGGAGCAAACCAATCAGTAACGTATGCTTGGGCAGTCACTGATCGCCTAATCGTCGAATCGCACGTACGATTGCCAACTGTGAACACTTTATTAAAGGATTTCTCTCCAGCACCAAAAACACCTGTATCTCATATACGGCAGAGACAGTATTCCACAACTGCGAAGCTAGGCGATCCGGCCTTTTGTCCTGTCTTGGAGCTCTCACACAATTACAGGATCTCTGCTTTCTTTAGTCTCTTCAGAAAGCTTATTCGTAATGCCAAACAAAGTGCATGCTTTTCCATCTTTTCTCTCACAATTTGTTGACAGAAACTTTGTAACCCCAAAAACAGTGGTTGCGCTGGCTGAGGGGTGACGACGGGTTGCTTGCGACATTGGTGAATGACCATCGCCATTGAGAAGACATTCCCACACCGTCCCCATTCCACTAATGGCAATGCTCTTCCAGCGATGACGTATCCAACTCGTCTCCGCGTTTCGGTCAGCGCTAGGCTTGATAACCCTGGCTGACGACTGGTGGAGCTAACTTCTTTCTACTGATCCAGATTCAGCTCAACCAGATGCTACGGCAACGACTAATTATGCCTATTCACAGTTGTGGCATGTCAACCATTTGCTTTGTGATGAGTGTGGTTGTCGGATTCAAGAAGAGGAGAAGTTCGAAGAAAAGGAAGGCATTATCGTGTGTCGCCATTGCTATCTGAACGGCAAAAATCCGAAGTGTGCAGGTAAGGATCCACGAATCGTAGATTTCTCAACCCAATAGCCAACCACTCTGACGGCACCTCAGTCCGCAACGTTCGCTTTCATGAGTGCATTATTTGATCTCCTGCTCTTCGAGATTTTATGCAAACTGGTGGCTTCGTTCTACTTATATACACCAGTTTTGCTCCGCCCGCTATCGCGCGCATCACACGGCAGGCTTTAGTGAAACTGAAAGACCCATGGAATATCAGCATGAGGCCCTCCATTAACCACCTCACTATTGAATGTGTTAGACTTTTCCCAGTTTCGCTGAAGTCCATCGAGAATACGCGTGATAACGTCTGGAGCTGAACTGGCATTTATCTCACAACTGTAAACATCCAGCATTCTTCTTGAATTCAGATAATTTAGCGGTGAATAGGATTGCTGTCAGTCTCAAAATGAAAATGAAATATGCCTATTTACATAAGTGAGGAGCTAAGGCTTATCATTTATTTACATTCACCATTATTTAGAACCCCGAAAGGATTAGCGGTTTAATGAGTTTGGGCTTTCTTGATAGAAATGAAAGTTATCATTTGCTGAAGACTTGATTGAGTTCATGCAATAGACTGCTATTAAGTAGGCTGGTCATACAATGATACAGTGTGCACGTACCACTACAAATAGAATTTGTAAGTAGGGACGCTCTAGTGTCAGCGCAAGCTGCGTAACGGAATCGACGACTTTTGCATTCTGACGCCCCTTATCAGCCCTTTATCAGTTGTAACCACTTTCCATCACCTACCAACAATGCCCCCGTCCCACCCCACATGACACCTGCGAGTATGTACGCTCTGGTGTCAACGCAAGCTGCGTAACGGAATCGACGACTTTTGCATTCTGACGCCCCTTATCAGCCTTTATCAGTTGTAACCACTTTCCATCACCTACCAACAATGTCCCCGTCCCACCCCACATGACACCTGCGAGTATGGACGCTCTAGTGTCAACGCAAGCTGCGTAACGGAATCGACGACTTTTGCGTTCTGACGCCCCTTATCAGCCCTTATCAGTTGTAACCACTTTCCATCACCTACCAACAATGTCCCCGTCCCACCCCACATGACACCTGCGAGTATGGACGCTCTGGTGTCAACGCAAGCTGCGTAACGGAATCGACGACTTTTGCATTCTGACGCCCCTTATCAGCCTTTATCAGTAACCACTTTCCATCACCTACCAACAATGTCCCCGTCCCACCCCACATGACACCTGCGAGTATGTACGCTCTGGTGTCAACGCAAGCTGCGTAATGGAATCGACGACTTTTGCATTCTGACGCCCCTTATCAGCCCTTATCAGTTGTAACCACTTTCCATCACCTACCAACAATGTCCCCGTCCCACCCCACATGACACCTGCGAGTATGTACGCTCTGGTGTCAATGCAAGCCACGTAATGGAATCGACGACTTTTGCATTCTGACGCCCCTTATCAGCCTTTATCAGTTGTAACCACTTTCCATCACCTACCAACAATGCCCCCGTCCCACCCCACATGACACCTGCGAGTATGTACGCTCTGGTGTCAATGCAAGCCACGTAATGGAATCGACGACTTTTTGCGTTCTGACGCCCCTTATCAGCCTTTATCAGTTGTAACCACTTTCCATCACCTACCAACAATGCCCCCGTCCCACCCCACATGACACCTGCGAGTATGTACGCTCTGGTGTCAATGCAAGCCACGTAATGGAATCGACGACTTTTGCATTCTGACGCCCCTTATCAGCCTTTATCAGTTGTAACCACTTTCCATCACCTACCAACAATGCCCCCGTCCCACCCCACATGACACCTGCGAGTATGTACGCTCTGGTGTCAATGCAAGCCACGTAATGGAATCGACGACTTTTGCATTCTGACGCCCCTTATCAGCCTTTATCAGTTG